GACTCTCGACCTCATTCACCTCGTCTAGACGTCGAGCGTCTACCTCCACTCGCGTGGGGGCTTTAATTAAATCGGGGATACCAGCTCAAAGCATAATTCTCATTAAATACACTATTAGTGACCGAGTCAAGGATCTCGTCCTGAATCTCAAGGCAGCGTGTTATCTATGAACTTGTAACTGATGTTCGCTATCACACAATTATGCAATCAACTTTGAAACACATCACAGCGAGTGCATTTCATATGCTACACCGTGATGGTATTGCACTGAACTCAAGTAACGTGTACGCACTGTCAGACTCTGTCAAACTGTCGAAAGTTGTCAAACTCTGTCTCACTCTGTCAAATACTGCTATACACTGTCAAACACTGTCAAACTGTCATACACTGTCAAACTGTCATATACTGTCATATACTGCCATATACTGTCAAACACTGTCATACAATGCCAAACACTGCCATACACTGCTATACACTGTCAAACACTGTAAAACTGTCATACACTGTCAAACTGTCATATACTGTTATATACTGCCATATACTGTCAAACACTGTCATACACTGTCATACACTGTCAAACTGTCATACACTGTCAAACTGTCATATACTGTTATATACTGCCATATACTGTCAAACACTGTCATACACTGTCATACAATGCCATACACTGTCATACGCTGCCAAACACTGCCATACACTGTCATACATTGTCACACACTGTCATACACTGCCATACAATGCCATACACTGTCATACATTGCCATACACTGTCATACACTGCCAAACACTGCCATACACTGTCAAACTCTGTCATACACTGTCATACACTGTCATACATTGTCACACACTGTCATACACTGTCATACAATGCCATACACTGTCATACAATGCCATACACTGTCATACACTGCCAAACACTGCCATACACTGTCAAACTCTGTCATACACTGTCATAGACTGTCATATACTGTCATACACTGTCATACAATGCCATACACTGCCAAACACTGCCATACACTGTCAAACTCTGTCAAACTGTCATTAACTGCTATACGCTGTCAAACACTGTCAAACACTGTCAAACTCTGTCATAAACTGTCATACACTGCCATACAATGCCATACACTGTCAAACACTGTCAAACACTGGCATACACTGTCAAATTCTGTCATACACAGTCGCACTCTGTCAAACAGTGTCATACACAGTCAAACACTGCCATATGATGTCAAACTCTGTCATACACTGTCATACACTGCCATATACTGTCATAGACTGTCATAGACTGTCATACACTATCAAACACTGTCAAACACTGCCATACACTTCATAGACTGCCATACAGTGCCATACACTGTCAAACACTGTCAAACTGTCATACACTGTCAAACTGTCATATACTGTCATATACTGCCATATACTGTCAAACACTGTCATACAATGCCATACATTGTCATACACTGCCAAACACTGCCATACACTGTCACACACTATCATACACTGTCATACACTGTCATACAATGCCATACACTGTCATACACTGCCAAACCCTGCCATACACTGTCAAACTATGTCATACACTGGCATACACTGTCAAATTCTGTCATACACAGTCGCACTCTGTCAAACAGTGTCATACACTATCAAACACTGCCATTTACTGTCAAACTCTGTCATACCTGTTTCTGCTGTAGAACTATGTGTGTACACCACTTAAAAGGTGGTTGGAGTGCCAGTGGCCTGCTCCATTGCCTTATTTACCATCCCGACCTTCCCCATCACAGTCAAAATTCCAAATTTGTTCTCCAAAATTAAGTCAGCAACCCTAAAAGCCCCTCTAGTTTGCTTCGCCTTTTCAACCAATCACAATATGGCCTGGCGGGCCCGTGCGCAAAATACGCATATGTCGGAATGCGCACGTTAAATTCCCAATGTAAGTAAGTAAGTAAGTAAGTCACCATCACATTCACATGTTCATTCCAAAGCAGACCCAGAGACCATACACCGATATGGCCACTGCCAGACCTAACCCGGAGTCGGACAGAAGGTTAATATTGACAAACAACATGCGTATCTGCATCCATCAAACGAACAGGTCCACTCACCACATGGCCGTCACAGCGATATGATACACTGGATAAGTCGAATTAACTATACTTAGGAGTCCACCATCTGCGTGTCGAATTATCAGATATCGACATGTGTACATTTCACCCGAAGCAGGGATGCAGATCAGCGTCCGACTGACGGATGTGGTCAATGTTGTTACGAACATTGCTGTACACATGTGGACGGGGGATAGGCAATCACAGCCCTTATTATCTTACTTCTGACTGCGTGAAGACAAGAGCGTGATACTCTTCATCTTGTGCTGAATAAACACGCTCCCCCCAAACCTGCCCCGCCTCTCCCCCGCCCTCAAAGCGATTCCTTTTATAGGTGCTTTAACTGCCCTTGAAACTCTAATTTGATGACGCCGTGGAGAGTTAGTGTTATCGACAACAGGTGTGGGGGGGCGAGTGGTGATCGGTGCACATTGCAGTGCCTTCGGAATTGGGACCCGTCCGCAAAACGACGTTAGCGCTAAGACGATCGTAACTCCCATACTTTAGTGACAACATTCGTAGTGCTAAGATCACGTAGTGCTAAGACCACGTAGTGCTAAGATCACGTAGTGGATCGGAGCCCTGGGTTATATTCCAAGCGAGAGGTCGTGGTTTGAACGGTACAGGCAAACCACCCCTTTTATTGGCCCCGTGGGTCGTTGGCCACAGTTGATGAGTTGCCTAGCAACTAGTTATTTGTACAAGGCACCCACTCCAGCATCATGTCAAAAGTTGCAGTGTTTACCAGGTATGTATTACAACATCGTCATCTGCAGATGTCAAATACTTTCATCACATATTAGTCTTGCCAGCTTTCGTACACAATACCACATTTATATCATCTGTACCCTTCTATTTATCTTTCAAAAATTCCGCCTCCGTATTCAAAGTATGTTAAATGCAGGAGAAAGACACAGTGTTGCGTTCCAAGTTACGGCGTGAAAAACTTATGAATGACAGTTTTATCCCTTATAAAAAGCACGCATAACTTGCGCACCTTGATGCCTCTTGGCTGTGTTTTACCTTGTGTTCGCAATGCCCGCGTTACATGCGCCCTCATCTAACAAACATCACCGTGACGGATCTGACAAAATAATTCAGCAGTAACATGTGCACCTGCACCTCGCTGTCAATTACCCAGATCAGTGATAGCGGCAATGTATCGCTGTTTTCCTGTCATTGTAATTAAAAAGAGGCAGCATTGTTTACGTCCTGGTGTGCGGAATCACGGACAGACACACCTGCAGTCGACCTCAGCCAATGGTAGAATTAAAGTGTTATGTTTGTTTGTTGTTTAACACCTCACTCACTATGGCAGCAGTCTGTAAATAATCGAGTTTGGACCAGACAATCCAGTGATTGACATCACGCAATTGGGATCGATGACATGCATCAACCAAGTCATCGAGCCCGGCCACCCGATCCCGTTAGTCGCCTCCTACAAGCACAGTCACCTTTTACGGCAACCATGGATGGCTGAAGACCTATTCTACCCCGGATCTTCACGGGTATAAAATGTTATGAAATGTGCAGTTTGATTTGTGAATAGGACAAATAAAACTGTACTTGTGAGTGATCAGGTAGAGATATCGTTATCAAATACGGCTTAGTCGCAGTAATATGTATCTTTATTTTATTATAAATATATCTGCGACTAGAAATATGCACGACCGCCTTGTGTAAGGATGATTATGTGTAGTACATGAAAACAAAGTCAATTAAACCAGAGAAACACAACACGTGACTAAAAGCCTGGATCGACTGTACCGGTTCTAGTAAATGTCGCGTGCATTTCAGTATAGATAAATGTGCACGGATAAAAACCCCGATCTCCCACTCCGACTGTAAGCTTGTATCGGTACCGCTTGTCAGTAACACACAAAAAGGTTGTCAATAACGCACTGACCTGTCAACGGGGTAATATCCCTGTAATAGACATTTCCTGGGTATTGATTAGTCATCAAAACCCAATCTACCCGGGGTTTACCATAACAGTTTCATCTGCGGCGAATCTCTAGTACTTGTTTTGATAAAGCGGTCTAACCCATTGATAGCGCACTATTCAGCCAACAAATAGTGTGGATTTAAACAAGCGTCTCGGTGACCGTTTGTTTGTTTACCCCTTATCTGTATGTATATAGCAATCAATTAAAGTCTTCCGTGCGATATGTACGTGTCCACCATAACATCAGCCGCGCCAACACTAACACCACTTACGTTTGGTAATAGCTGTCACTTCCATTGAAAAAAAACTGCGGTGGCAAGTCACTATTTGAAATAAGCCCTTACAATAACCATTTAGGTGGGAAAAAGATTCTAAAACAAACAACGACTGATCTATCAAAATCCTTGTACGGAATGTTTCACCTTTAATTCATTACACAGGTGAAACGGTCCTTGTTAACGTGTTAACTTACTCTCGTGGTCGCGCATTTCAAACAGGGCTCCTTCACACCCATTGCACTGAAACCGATAGCTTGATGCAAGTTGGTCTTGATTGATTGAAATGTACAAATAACCTATATACCTTCAGTGCCTCTGTTAGTGGTGGGGATGGGGGTAGTTTGTTGGGGGGTGGGGGGGTGGGGGTGGGGGGGATAGTTTATCTGCAGTTAAGTGGAGGTTCATACTCGGCTCGGAATTGAGACCCCCTGCATTGCCAACTGTCACAAATATTATAATCACTCCATGTGCTGTGACATCCACCCCCGAAATGTGAAATCGAGTAGGTGCGAGGGTTGTCAGTTGCCCACGACATGTCATACACACAACTTGGAGTTCCTCACACTGCTAGAGTCACATTTACAGAAAAGACCAGAAACAACCAAACCGTGAACCCTCTGTTAAAGTCAGAGATCAACGTGGAAGTAAACATAAGTTGCTGGATCTCCTTACCTTGTTAATTTCACTGGATCTTCTATTGCATTCTGCGTGGTTTAGATGCATACACACGTAATCCTCACATGGACAATACGAGTGCTGGTATTACCAGAGTCCCGAGGTTTCAATACTCCTGTAGTGTACCCGTCTACCTGGGATAAAGTAACGCGGGGCTGCCTCGACTAGCGGTCCAAGCTCCATGCGGTAGAAGGCATTTCATGATTGACGGCGGACTTTGATTGACAGGTCCTTTTGGGCACTCTGATTGGATAATATGCATTCGCCGCCGAAATACTATTGTCAATGGCTGTCTTCGCCGGCCTGTCGGAAGAATGGAGTGTAACCTACACCTATGATAATAAAGCGATATTGACAGCTAAATAAGCCGAGGTAAGGGACAAACGCTATGCATGTGTCTATCCCTTGGCTGCGGGGAATATTTTTTAGCCGATGGGGTGGGGAAAATTATTCGAGCAGGTATCGGAAAACTAATTTAAGAGCATAATCTTTCGACGCAGAATGTTGATAAAAGGATGGGTAAAGTTGCCGGCGGCCTGGACAGTGGGGCTTTTACTTTGAGAAACAAAGATCAGGTCTGAAAATACCTTCTTAATTGAGGCGATTTCTCGGCAGTTCCTAGCCAGCGGTCTAAATGTAATCGCCTGAATGAACCGCATAGGAGTAATAAGCTGATAATAAGCTCAGTAATGACCAGGTCGCGTTCGGATTTGGGTTAAATTGGACCATTTCCTCTTGGATTGGCGTGTGATTATTGCGTAAATATACTTGTGTAAAGTCGTGTTTGTATAACGGAAACCTCACTGACGGACCCAGCCTCGCATTGTCCAGTGACATGCAATAATTACAGGACCTGTCTGTGGCGCTTTCATCTCGTCCACCACGAACTGAAATCGGCTGTACTCACAGGGAACAGGTCAACTGAACTTAGTTACTGCATTATGGTTTAAAAATAGTCCTATTAAAAGGTTTTAAATGTAGCCTACACTTCACCGTCTATACATTTTCATTATACGCGGGGAACGAATGTCTCAGTTGTTGGAAGCCGCAATTCACTGTGCAGAGTTGCGTCCCTTTCGCACGCCAGAACCTTATGGGTTCGAATCCCGGTTCGCTACGACTAGGTTTCTCAGCACCATACCCGTGTTCGTGGGTTTCACCGAAGTGGTAAACGTCTGAGACCTGCATCACTTCAGGTTTTCCTCCCACATTAAGCTGACACACCGTGATATAACTGGAATACTGCCACACGAGGCGTTAAATTAACTCACTTTCTCATTATATGTAGTAATTATTATATCCGTATCGTGAACGGTTTGCTGAGCTAGGGTGTAATGTCACGGTTAGCTATAGTGTTACAATATCAAACTAGGGACTTCCGACCAAGCTGTGAATTCGAACCGTGTACAGTCGAGACGGGCCAACCCTTTACCTACACTGCCACTACATCTACCTCCCCACCTTAACATCTTTCCGTGAACTGGCCACAACATCCGCTTAACACCCTTCAAGGAATAGGACATAACGTCAGCTTAACACCCCACACGGAATATGACATAATGTCAGCTTAACATCCTTCAAGAAATAGGACATTTTCATCGGCCTTCATTGTCGCTTTCATGTTTGGCAGAATGTACATGCATCAGGTGACTGTATCACACATATTTATCTCTCTGTCACACGCTGAGGATGAAATAACGTCGTCATGTTTTGTCATCACTATCAGAAAGCCAATCTTTCAACGTGCACAATATATCCATGCTATTTGTGTAAAGAATGCCTATAAGTATCACATTCCCCTCACATAAGTGTCGACCTCTACTTGTTTGATACGCAGACAACACGCTAATACTGTCGGCGTGATTATAAAGGTACATCATTCGCAGCGTCTCCAGTATGGTGATGAAGATGATGAGTGCCAGTGTATAATGAGGCTTATCGCGCCAGCCAAGGCTCAATGTACCGACACTCCTTAATCTATCATAAAGACCCGTTTCGGAAGAATAAAAACTTCATAAAATATATTTTTACGATAGATAAATTCAGTAAATTATCAAGTAATCAACATATCAAGAGAAAATAAACGTTGCACGAAAACGTCAGTGATAAAATTGGAATAAACCAGATCAAACGAGTTTGAATTTCACATACCGCTGCGTATCAGCGCACGTGCAGTGAAAGATAGACTGTGGACAATGCCGTGAAGAGCGTGCGAAATGGGGGATGTGATGTGTTGTCATAAACACGTATTCAATACGGCGTCAGAGCGTACGTTACAGAGACGAGACAATGACAATGAAGTCCACCAAGATTCCTCATGAAATGTGCACGTGTCTATTTCAAATTAATTTGCCTTCAATACAGCTTGTATTAAAAAGTGAAATTGACATTCAGCGATGTATGGCGGCCCACTAGATGGCACAAACTCCATAAACAAATTGATGAAACGTGAATGAACGTGGCATGACGTTAAAACTGATCATTTGTACCTCGAACAAAAGTGTCCCGGGTATATACCATATCTACGGACAATGCCAAGTCGAGAACACTGAAGGACCACGGGCGACAGCAGGGAAACTATTCCCTTCTATTCAAAGAGGTAATTTAGCAAGTCACGTGATTGATTCAAGCATGTGGAATAGCTCATGGTGTCATGTGACTGCAGCGAATGGGGTAACTAGGCCTTTAAAACACGACCTTCATACTCCCGGAGAAACCATAACATGTCAGTGGCGGGGGAAAGCTACATTGTACATGATACCACATCCTTCCTAGGTACGAGTTTTCTTTATAACCCGATACACATTCTTGGTCTTAGGTGATCGCCATGTCGCGGACAGAGCGTTGTAGTTGAGGGAGAGTTCGTCGTGCAAGACCCCTTCCCAAACGCCGACAAGAGCAGGCCCACGCTAAACATATCTTATAGTATTACGTCAAATATCTCTTAAAAGGGTTTAATCGCGTGAAAATCCTCTCATTGCTGTGACCGTATGGGTGGCCATGGATGCAATAAGCCAGTTTAACGAAGCCCTCAAGGAATTGCCTTATCACACATTCGACAGAAATCCCAGATGTCGAGTGCATTCACAGCAAGGTGAATTGATAAATTGTCATGTGAATAGACCTCCTCACGCATTAGCTGATTTGAAACTAATCTTTTGAAGAAAATCTTTCCCCAACACCTGTACAACTGACGTAATTTGTTAAGAGTTTGTAGGATTCATATCAAATGGAGATATAATGGATGCTTGTATTGACGAGTCCCTGTGTGTGCCACGGATATAGATCTGTGTGACATCGGAGGCAAGAGGTAATGAAACTCAGAGGAAACACCTCCACTGAAAAACTGACAAATCGGTTTGAACGCAGACTAAGGGCTATGGGAGAGTGCGGGGTGTATAGAAGTCACATCTGTATGTGGAATGAGACAAAGTTAATGAAGTGAGAAGTTAACCCACAAGTTAATTAACATGCCTAGGTAATGGAATCACACCATTGAACGCCCGATTGTAGAAGACCTGACGAAATGGCGGAACACTACACGACCTATCTGAATGAAAGAAGCGAGATCAGACGACTCACATCAAGGGAGAATCTTGTATTAGTGTTTACCAGTCACGGGAAATGAATATTTCATGTCGTTCTGCAGCCAACCTTTTTTACACGCAATGATGCCAGCACACGTGCAGTACAATGTACATGGTTGTCAGGAATCTGGCGATGCAGAAGTTCGTTATTAGCTGCGCCGGGACCAAGTAGTCATGGGTTCGAATCCCGGGTTCGCTCTGGTTATACTGGTCGGTTTGACAGCACCAGATCTGTTCACGTGGGTGTCACCAAGGTATAAACAATACTACTCAGTATGTGCCCAAAGAGATTCCATAGTGCCTAAAAGACAACGCAGTGATGAATATTGCGTAGATGGATCTCTCAAGTTTCAACATCGATGATGCCCAGGTGTCCGCGAAAAGGTTAAGCCTGCGCTGCTCCTCCGGCAGCAGCCGACACTAGCGCCAGACTAGTGCCAGACTAGTGCCAGACTAGCGCCAGACTAGCGCCAGACTAGTACCAGACTAGTGCCAGACTAGCGCCAGACTAGTGCCAGACTAGCGCCAGACTAGTGCCAGACTAGCGCCAGACTAGCGCCAGACTAGTGCCAGACTAGTGCCAGACTAGTGCCAGACTAGCGTCAGACTAGTGCCAGACTAGCGCCAGACTAGTGCTAGACTAGTGCCAGACTAGCGCCAGACTAGTGCCAGACTAGTGCCAGACTAGTGCCAGACTAGTGCCAGATTAGCGCCAGACTAGCGCCAGACTAGTGCCAGACTAGTGCCAGACTAGCGCCAGATTAGTGCTAGACTAGTGCCAGACTAGTGCCAGTGAGTAAGGAAGTGTTACAACTCCACGTAAAACGCCATAGTAAGAGGTAGCATCGCGCACCATGTTGACATCAAAAGTGTCATAGTTGGTAAATACCTCTGAATTCTGCTATAAAGATTTTGGTATGACTTAACCTGCTTTGATTGTGAAACCTTGATTAAAAAGTTTAGCTCTCCAGTTTAGTTTAGGCTCCAACGTACATAAGCCACTGTGCAGTGTGGACGCCCTGAGATGCAACTGATGGTATGTTGCTCGACGTGAAAGGTAGGGCTGTTACGATTCACCTACGTATTCGTTGCAGCCCTAATGAAAGGGGTATTTCGCGATAGGAAAATCATAATCATCCTTCTTGGTACAGAGCTTGGTACAGAGGCTGCTATCGTTATTAATATGTATGCACAAAGCCTGTTGTCTTGATAAGGTGAAGAGGGAGAGGGCTTCATTCACCTGCTTCATTCTGACATTCACCTGCTTCATTCAGACATTCACCTGCTTCATTCAGACATTCACCTGCTTCATTCAGACATTCACCTGCTTCAGTCTGACATTAACTTGGTTCATTCAGACATTCAGCTGCTTCAGTCTGACATTAACTTGGTTCATTCAGACATTCACCTGCTTCATTCAGACATTCACCTGCTTCATTCAGACATTCACCTGCTTCATTCAGACATTAACTTGGTTCATTCAGACATTCACCTGCTTCATTCAGACATTAACTTGGTTCATTCAGACATTCAGCTGCTTCAGTCTGACATTAACTTGGTTCATTCAGACATTCACCTGCTTCATTCAGACATTCACCTGCTTCATTCAGACATTCACCTGGTTTATTCAGTCATTCACCTCCTTTATTCATACATTTACACGTTTTTCGAGACATTCAATTTACAAGCACGCTTTTAATTTACAAACGCCCTTTTACTTTACAAACACACTTTTAGTTTACAAAGACACTTTCACTTTGCAAACACATTTTTATTTTTCAAACACACTTTTAATTTGCAAACACACTTTCACTTTGCAAACACACTTTTGATTTACCAACACACTTTTTATTTGCTAACAAACTTTCACTTTGCAAACACACTTTTGATTTACAAACACACTTTTACTTTAAAAACACTTTTAATTTACAAACACACTTTAACTTTACAAACACACTTTTAGTTTACAAACACACTTTCACTTTGCAAACACACTTTTAATTTACAAACACACTTTTACTTTAAAAACACTTTTAATTTACAAACACACTTTCACTTTACAAACACACTTTTACTTAACGTGTTTGTTTTTACGTTACATTGACACTTGTTCCATTTTTTCAGTCCGTATTTCAAATAAGACCAGTATGACTACATGAGTCATTTCATTAACAAAGTTATACGACAAATCGCCCGAAGAGGCAATACAATCTGATAAATTCTATTTTCATTTTTGTTCTTGCAGCCCATTGTTCAAATACAAAAGGAAATGATTAATCGTGGAAATATCTCAACATCGACACTTTCTATGCAAAGAACGCGAGAAAGATAAAATGGAATATCGCATCCCAGCAGCTTGATGACAACATTCACTTGGTGCACGGAGCCCATTGCTCACAGTCTGTCAGTGGCCCACCCCAGGATATAGTTTATAACACGATTCATTCATGACTTAGGTCATGAACAAAGACACAGACAAAGAATTCCCCCCACGGCTACGCAAATTCAATGTCCCTGTCTGTTTTAACACATAAACTTAATGGTTCGAAAACACACTGAATCCGTGAATGACACGGCGGTGTTACGGACATATTTTAAACATTTTCAAAACCTGCGCAAACAGCCGGTATCTGATGGTCTATGTATTATACAACATAGACAACAAAGTCCCCCAATATCATCACCACCCTCTTCTCTTCCATCTCTTCAACCTCCTCCTCATCATCATCAGCAGCAGCAACAGCAGCAACAACAACAACAGCAGCATCACCAGTAGCAGCAGCATCATGTTGCATTCTTCTCGCCATCAATCCTTATCATAATTTTCAGCAGCATCTTCACGGTCGAGTTCGTTCCATCATGGTTACGAGGTGTGGAGACATGGAGTTACTAGACATTGCAAACTATGACGACGTCATTCTCATTCATTCTCATTCATCTTCACAGATAAATTCATGTCAAAGTTTCATGTTTTAAGCTGAAGTAATAGATATTCGAGGACGAATGTCACGATGACCTTACACCACTGAGTCTATGATCCAGGCGGGATCATGTTTATGATACCCTGGATATTCAGCAGGAAAATGATATCCTCGACAGACCGATGACTCAGGACGTTCCGGGGATTCAGCTGGACCATAACATTCTGGACCATAACATTAGAGGAAAGTTAATGACGCTCTGGACAAACAGATGACCCCTGATGCTCTGGACAAACAGATGACCCCTGACACTCTGGACAAACAGATGGCCCCTGATGCTCTGGACAAACAGATGACCCCTGACACTCTGGACAAACAGATGACCCCTGACGCTCTGGACAAACAGATGGCCCATGATGCTCTGGACAAACAGATGACCCCTGACACTCTGGACAAACAGATGGCCCCTGATGCTCTGGACAAACAGATGGCCCCTGATGCTCTGGACAAACAGATGACCCCTGATGCTCTGGACAAACAGATGACCCCTGACACTCTGGACAAACAGATGGCCCCTGATGCTCTGGACAAACAGATGACCCCTGACACTCTGGACAAACAGATGGCCCCTGATGCTCTGGACAAACAGATGGACCCTGACACTCTGGACAAACAGATGACCCCTGACGCTCTGGACAAACAGATGGCCCATGATGCTCTGGACAAACAGATGACCCCTGACACTCTGGACAAACAGATGGCCCCTGATGCTCTGGACAAACAGATGGACCCTGACACTCTGGACAAACAGATGACCCCTGACGCTCTGGACAAACAGATGGCCCATGATGCTCTGGACAAACAGATGACCCCTGACACTCTGGACAAACAGATGGCCCCTGATGCTCTGGACAAACAGATGACCCCTGACGCTCTGGACAAACAGATGGCCCATGATGCTCTGGACAAACAGATGGACCCTGATGCCCTGGACAAACAGATGACCCCTGATGCTCTGGACAAACAGATGACCCCTGATGCTCTGGACAAACAGATGACCCCTGACACTCTGGACAAACAGATGGCCCCTGATGCTCTGGACAAACAGATGACCCCTGATGCTCTGGACAAACAGATGGTCTCTGACGGTCTCGATAAACAGATGGTCCCTTACGCTCTGAAAAAAACAGGTTGTTCAAGACGCTCCGGACAACAGATGGTCCCTAACGCCCTGGACAAACAGATGGACCCTGACACTCTGGACAAACAGATGGTCCTTGGCGAGATTCAACAGGACCATGACTCTGGACAGCCAGATGGTCCATGACACTCTGATCATATATTGGTCCATGACTGTCTGATCATACACGAACGCCACAGAAAATTTGTGGCACACTTGGTATGCACTGACAATGCAAGTACACATAGAGAACAGGACGCAAGTACACATAGAGAACAGGACGCAAGTACACAAAGAGAACAGGACGCAAGTACACATAGAGAACAGGACGCACGTACACATAGAGAACAGGACACAAGTACACATAGAGAACAGAACGCAAGTACACATAGAGAACAGGACGCAAGTACACATAGAGAACAAGACGCACGTACACATAGAGAACAAGACGCAAGTACACATAGAGAACAGGACGCCAGTACACATAGAGAACAGGACGCACGTACACATAGAGAACAGGACGCCAGTACACATAGAGAACAGAACGCAAGTACACATAGAGAACAGGACGCAAGTACACATAGAGAACAAGACGCACGTACACATAGAGAACAAGACGCAAGTACACATAGAGAACAGGACGCCAGTACACATAGAGAACAGGACGCACGTACACATAGAGAACAGGACACAAGTACACATAGAGAACAGAACGCAAGTACACATAGAGAACAGGACGCAAGTACACATAGAGAACAAGACGCACGTACACATAGAGAACAAGACGCAAGTACACATAGAGAACAGGACGCAAGTACACATAGAGAACAAGACGCAAGTACACATAGAGAACAGGACGCAAGTACACCTAGAGAACAAGACGCAAGTACACATAGAGAACAGGACGCAAGTACACACGTACACATAGAGAAAAGGACGCAAGTACACATAGAGAACAAGACGCAAGTACACATAGAGAACAATACGCAAGTACACATAGAGAACAGGACGCACGTACACATAGAAAACAGAACGCAAGTACACATAGATAACAAGACGCAAGTACACATAGAGATCAGGACGCAAGTACACAAAGAGAACAGGACGCACGTACACATAGAGAACAGAACGCAAGTACACATAGAGAACAAGACGCAAGTACACATAGAGATCAGGACGCAAGTACACATAGAGAACAGGACGCACGTACACATAGAGAACAGAACGCAAGTACACATAGAGAACAAGACGCACGTACACATAGAGAACAGGACGCAAGTACACATAGAGATCAGGACGCAAGTACACATAGAGAACAGAACGCAAGTACACATAGAGAACAAGACGCACGTACACATAGAGAACAGGACGCAAGTACACATAGAGATCAGGACGCAAGTACACATAGAGAACAGAACGCAAGTACACATAGAGAACAAGACGCAAGTACACATAGAGAACAGGACGCAAGTACACATAGAGAACAGAACGCAAGTACACATAGAGAACAAGACGCACGTACACATGGAGAACAAGACGCAAGTACACATAGAGAACAGGACGCAAGTACACATAGAGAACAGGACGCACGTACACATAGAGAACAAGACGCAAGTACACATAGAGAACAAGACGCAAGTACACATAGAGAACAGGAAGCAAGTACATATAGAGAACTTGACGCACGTACACATAGAGAACAGGACGCAAGTACACATAGAGAACAGGACACACGTACACATAGAGAACAAGACGCAAGTACACATTGAGAACAGGACGCAAGTACACACGTACACATAGAGAACAGGACGCAAGTACACACGTACAAATAGAGAACAAGACGCAAGTACACATAGAGAACAGGACGCAAGTACACATAGAGAACAAGACGCAAGTACACATAGAGGACAGGACGCAAGTACACATAGAGAAGATACACGGCAACAAGCCGGCCATAATTCCTCAGAGAGTTCTGCTAGGACAGAACACTAAAGCACGAGAGTACCTCTGTAGGTGCAGTGTCGTTATGTGCTGGAAAGCAAGCTTTCTCAATTGGAGAAGAAAACAACATCCATTATTAATTTCTTTTACAAATTCAAAATGACGATGACGGATTAAACGAAATGTACAAACGGAAGTTCTTAAATGAAATTTTGATTTATTGCAAAAACTACGCAAACCAATTTGCCTCCGGCGTATCGGTGAAGGAGCTGTAGTTTGCACACTTCATCTATAGCCTTTGATCTCATGTGAAGCTTCCCCTTCTGCGTATATCATCCATTAATCTTGATACGCAGGTGATAGGTACACATTATTGAACATGTTGATCTGTTTGTTATCTATTGTTAGAAACAAAGGTTTGATCTGGTGGAGGAAATGACATTAGGTGCTTCAACAAAAAGGTCACCGTTCGCCCCAGGGTTGGTATAGAGTCGAGGACACTGGACGGGGTGTTGCGAAGCTGAGAACTGTATCTTTTATACCACTGAAAGCGACTTTTAATAAAATTGATCTGTAATTTACGGGGTGTTGTTTATGGCTTGTTAACGTGCTAGATAACTAACACCGTGGTATACAGGATAGCGCCCACACAATGCCCCGTGGTAGACAGGTTCAAGCCCACACAGCTCTTTCATGTTGGAGCACCATCAACGTAACGACAATTATTGGGCAATTCTTTCATCTCGATGCTGTACCATCAACTCTTTCATCTGCAACCACTACCATCAACTCTTTCCTCTTCAACCACTACCATCAACTCTTTCCTCTTCAACCACTACCATCAACTCTTTCCTCTTCAACCACTACCATCAACTCTTTCCTCTTCAACCACTACCATCAACTCTTTCCTCTGCAACCACTACCATCAACTCTTTCCTCTTCAACCACTACCATCAACTCTTTCCTCTTCAACCACTACCATCAACTCTTTCCTCTTCAACCACTACCATCAACTCTTTCCTCTTCAACCACTACCATCAACTCTTTCCTCTGCAACCACTACCATCAACTCTTTCGTCTTCAACCACTACCATCAACTCCTTCCTCTGCAACCACTACCATCAACTCTTTCGTCTTCAACCACTACCATCAACTCTTTCCTCTTCAACCACTACCATCAACTCTTTCCTCTTCAACCACTACCATCAACTCCTTCCTCTGCAACCACTACCATCAATTCTTTCATCTTTAACCATTACCATCAACTCTTTCCTCTGCAACCACTACCATCAACTCTTTCCTCTTCAACCACTACCATCAACTCCTTCCTCTGCAACCACTACCATCAACTCTTTCCTCTTCAACCACTACCATCAACTCTTTCGTCTTCAACCACTACCATCAACTCCTTCCTCTGCAACCACTACCATCAACTCTTTCCTCTTCAACCACTACCATCAACTCCTTCCACTGCAACCACTACCATCAACTCTTTCGTCTTCAACCACTACCATCAACTCTTTCCTCTGCAACCACTACCATCAACTCTTTCCTCTGCAACCACTACCATCAACTCCTTCCTCTGCAACCATTTCAATTATTTTTTTCCTTTGCAACCACTACCATCAACTGTTTCTGCAGTAGATATTACCTACACGTTTCGTATGTTGTGCAGCTACTGTGCGTGACCATGTGTGCTGTAACTACTGTGGTCAGCTACTGTGCGTGACCATGTGTGCTGTAACTACTGTGGTCAGCTACTGCAGCTACTGTGCGTGACCATGTGTGCTGTAACTACTGTGGTCAGCTACTGTCCGTGACCATGTGTGCTGTAACTACTGTGGTCAGCTACTGCAGCTACTGTGCGTGACCATGTGTGCTGTAACTACTGTGGTCAGCTACTGTCCGTGACCATGTGTGCTGTAACTACTGTGGTCAGCTACTGTCCGTGACCATGTGTGCTGTAACTACTGTGGTCAGCTACTGTCCGTGACCATGTGTGCTGTAACTACTGTGGTCAGCTACTGTGCGTGACCATGTGTGCTGTAACTACTGTGGTCAGCTACTGTCCGTGACCATGTGTGCTGTAACTACTGTGGTCAGCTACTGTCCGTGACCATGTGTGCTGTAACTAATGTGGTCAGCTACTCTCCGTGACCATGTGTGCTGTAACTACTGTGGTCAGCTACTGTCCGTGACCATGTGTGCTGTAACTACTGTGGTCAGCTACTGTGCGTGACCATGTGTGCTGTAACTACTGTGGTCAGCTACTGCAGCTACTGTGCGTGACCATGTGTGCTGTAACTACTGTGGTCAGCTACTGTCCGTGACCATGTGTGCTGTAACTACTGTGGTCAGCTACTGTCCGTGACCATGTGTGCTGTAACTACTGTGGTCAGCTACTGTGCGTGACCATGTGTGCTGTAACTACTGTGGTCAGCTACTGTCCGTGACCATGTGTGCTGTAACTACTGTGGTCAGCTACTGCACCTACTGTGCGTGACCATGTGTGCTGTAACTACTGTGGTCAGCTACTGCACCTACTGTGCGTGACCATGTGTGCTGTAACTACTGTGGTCAGCTACTGTCCGTGACCATGTGTGCTGTAACTACTGTGGTCAGCTACTGTCCGTAACCATGTGTGCTGTAACTACTGTGGTCAGCTACTGTGCGTGACCATGTGTGCTGTAACTACTGTGGTCAGCTACTGCAGCTACTGTGCGTGACCATGTGTGCTGTAACTACTGTGGTCAGCTACTGTGCGTGACCATGTGTGCTGTAACTACTGTGGTCAGCTACTGCAGCTACTGTGCGTGACCATGTGTGCTGTAACTACTGTGGTCAGCTACTGCAGCTACTGTGCGTGACCATGTGTGCTGTAACTACTGTGGTCAGCTACTGTCCGTGACCATGTGTGCTGTAACTACTGTGGTCAGCTACTGTCCGTGACCATGTGTGCTGTAACTACTGTGGTCAGCTACTGTGCGTGACCATGTGTGCTGTAACTACTGTGGTCAGCTACTGTCCGTGACCATGTGTGCTGTAACTACTGTGGTCAGCTACTGTCCGTGACCATGTGTGCTGTAACTACTGTGGTCAGCTACTGTCCGTGACCATGTGTGCTGTAACTACTGTGGTAAGCTACTGTCCGTGACCGTGTGTGCTGTAACTACTGTGGTCAGCTACTGTCCGTGACCATGTGTGCT